GGCGGGGTCTGGGTGGGGGCGTGGTTAGGCGGGAGGGGCGTGGCTAGGCGTTGCTATGGGGGCGGTTGCCAGGGGTGGGGGGAAATGGCGGCGAGGCCTGGCTTGGGCCTGTGTGGTCCCCGCTATGCTGGCCCACCCCGCTGGCCCCCTGGGCCGGTCCGCTGAGCTCACCTGGGGCCATTTGCATGATCCTGATAATAATAATAATAATTATTATTATTAATAATAATAATAATGATGATGATGAACATTTTGGGGCTCAGGCGTGGTAGGCCGCCCCTCCAGTGCTGTGCAGGCCTCAGTGTGGTGGCTCACCTCTTGTTGGGCCTCTTTTGGCAGTTAGCAGCAATAATATTTCATAATTATCATTATTTTCACGGGTGAACTCATTTGAATTTTTCTCATCTATCGCGCTCTCCGCTGCTCTCTCACTGCCAGCAGAGATAAGAGCCACTTTGTATGATTTAATTTACTGCGCACTGGAGTTTTTTAGAGAGGTTTCCACTAGCGGCTCCCGCTTGCAGGCCTGGGCTGTATTTAATGTTGTTGGCTCCCTGCTCCATGCCCCCGCTGTGGGGTGCTTCTGTTAAGAGCCTCTGGAGCAGGGTGTCTGCGCCGGGCAGCCTTTGGGTTCCTTTGGGCGGTTCAGAGCCATCTTGTTTTTCCTTTACATGTTATAGCCAGAAGCAAACGGCTCGTCTAGCTGAAGAATTCAGTTTGTTTATGTTAGTTAAGTGCTTTTTTTTTAGGTTAGGAAAAGGTGTACAGCGAAATCTCAGTAAACAGGTAATGAAGCATGCTGCTTCAGGTGCCTGGGTTTGTTTGTTGGTTTGTTGGTTTTTTTTTTTTATGACGAAGACAAAGACTTTCAGGAAGTCAATTTTTATTTCCCAGCTTCTTTCATTTCTTTTGGCTGGGCATCATCAACCAAATAGGTATAATAAAACCATGGAAGAAAGTGAATGTACAGCAACACGTTTTACCTGAGCAGATGTAAAATTGCACTCATTAAAGAAGCACATTTAGGCATAAAATGCAGATCAAAAATCTCTGTAAGAGCTTCCACTAGGGAAAAAGATTGCTTTGACCTTCAGAGATTGACGCAATGTGCAGTGTTTATTAATAGTTTTAGCAAGAAAGTAGCTATATGGGGGGGATGTCTTGCCTTTTATTTGGCTGATGTTAAGAGTGCCCTTACCATTTTTTAACTTTCCTACTGAATAGGGTTGATGAAAAACTCCCCTACTCTTGGGTTAATGACTTGGCTGCTGGCTTATACTAATGTCCATCAAAGATTTCTTTGCTCCTCTGATGATGAAAGTAGCACTGTAAATGCTGCAGGACCCCGGGCTTAATCCCACTCACCGCCTTTCCAGAAAGGGGAGGCAACTCTTGAGTCTCTCAGTATGGTTCCGTGTATGAGAAATGCTCTCTGAAGCAGAAGAGATTTTCTTGCACTGGGCTTTGCTCAAGTTATCAAAGAAAATAAGGACCCCACAAGAAAACAGAATGCTGTGGGGTCATTTTTAGGATAGCATAACGCTGGGAGCGTAAGGCTGGTTGAATCTTGAGGAAGAATTTGACCCCCGTGTCCTGCTCCCACCCCCAAA